GTTTGTCTTCCCAGCAGCATTCAGATACAGTTTAGCTTTTTTCTGTCAGGAAGTGCAGATGTGTCATACTTACAGTTCTCTGCTTAAATTACAGTACAGTCTTCCTGCAGACGGCCTCAATTGAAAGAACTGGAAGACAGGGGTTCTGTCAAAAGCAGCAAACACTCTGCAGACAATGATTTCTTTTCCGGTTTAAAATAATGCCACCAGAAAGGGCCAGATTTCATCGTTTGACTAAACAAGGCTGTGCTCATGTGGTCAGGAGAGGACAGACAAACAACGCTCAGATGTAAGGAGTAATAGATCTCCATACACGAGGAGATTAGAGTGATATTAGTGCATGCTGTCCGTCTCAGAGTCTCCGCTGTTCTCACCACTGCTGCTGATGTATGAATAAAGACCGTTCTCATGGCTGTTCATCAGGGTCTGGATCTCTGTGTGCCATCCAAGGATCTCTGCCAGTTTGCGTACAGATTCGGACAGATCTCCCAGCTCCATGTAGTCGGCTCTTCTCAGGGGCCTCCGTTCAAAGGGCCCGACTGCATCACGGTTCAGCAGGAGACGAGGAACTGTGGACTTCACGGTGTTTATCAGGCTGGCAAAGGGCTCAATCTGGGAAATAAATATATATTCTATTTAAATAAACACACTATACTTTATTTCATTACATGCAGACTTTGATTCATTCAGGAAGGATGTATTTAATTAGAGGACAATAAAGACTTCTGTTAAAGTTGTTTCCAGTATTCATTTGAAATTGGTTCACCAAAACAACCTTTAAAGTGGTTATAATACTGGTGCAATTAGATTTACATATGGCATCGTGAATATCAATTCAGCATCTTAGAATGATTTTTGAAGGATCATTTGACAACTAAAAATATCAAAAATAAAACAAAATAAAAAAAAGTTAAAGAGCCCCTATTATGGGTTTTTGAAAATGACCTTCTATGCAGTGTGTACCAGATCTGAGTGAATGAAATCATCCAGCTGAGGTTTAAATCTGAAAGTGCATCTTGTAAAAATATTGGATTTTTTTAACAAAGATTTCACTCTGGATTCCACTCCGTTAGTCCGGATCTTTTGCCTGTTCGCGTCATGCAAAACAATACCAAATACGAAGTGCCGGATGCAGTAGAACGTGAACGCGCCTTTCCCTTCAGATACTAGCGGAGTGCGAGGGATCATGACGCGAAGATTACCAGTCACTGAGAGATGGCCAGACATGCGGTTGTGAGGAATAATGGGTTGAGTTCATTTTCACAACAACACCAAAAGAGTATAGCCAACAGTGTGCTGTGTTTGTTCCTGTCATTTTTCTGTTAATTGAAAAGATATCCAACGCCGCAACGTGGGATTTGCCAGTCGTTTGCTATTGAAGGAAGGATCAGTAGAGACTATTAATGTATGGGACTTTGGTTAATACAAACTGTGTAACAGTTACTGACAATTTCTCCCTCCAGATCCTGTAAATGTTTCTCCTTCATACACAACCTGTGTTATTAAAATGGTTGCCTTGTTTTCTGTAGTTAGCAAAATATGCATTTAATTGCGTGTTGCTCTGTGCAGCTTGTAATCACTTATCTATTATAGATCAGTGCTTGTACTGTATTTATTAGGGTAAATCTCTATGGCTGTTCACATATCACATCCAAAACCATCTTGAAAACACAATGTGTGCTGCTTTCTTTACCAATTTAAATCAGTTTCTGAACTCGCAATCCTCTGCTGCTGGTTACTGCTATGGCCACCATCAGCTGTTCCTCACTCATGGTCAATTTTCTAAATAGTTCAACTTTTGCCACTGTGTGGATTAATACTGAATGCGTGTCCTTGTTATTACTCGGGGTTAGAGTGGAGTAATATGCTGGAGTTTAACTGCATTGCTTTATTGCATTCCTGCATTGGGCTCTCTTCATAGCCACGTTTTTTTGTCTCGCACAGAACCCAGTCGACCAATCACAACACATTAGCCTCATGCAAAGGAGGGGTTTGGAAGCAAATTAATCTCTGAACAAATCATATGGGAGTCATTGTGATAAATAGGTAAAATAAATGTATATTATAAGACAATTAAAGTGTTTTTGTCACACTTATTGCATATCAAACAGCTGTTGGAGACCCCCAACACCAAAATATGACCTTTTATAATGCATAATAGGGGCTCTTTAATTTTTATATTTCTAAATACCAATTAAATAATTGCAGCCTTGATAAGCAGAAGAAAATGCTTTTAAAAAAAAGTCTCTGATATTCAATATTTCATGGTAGCCATATAGAGTGACATTACACACCTTGATTGACTTTTTAAATTACTAAAAAACCTGTATATTCCTTAGCAAAATAATAATGTACATAATAAAGATAAAAAAATTATATTTAACAAAAAATAAGAAAAAATATATCTAATGTTGAGATCTAAACAAACCCACTTCTTTTAGAAATTTGTGCTAGATGAAAATAGCCTCCATTCTATTTGAAGCATGTCTCTATGATTTGTGTTTTCAGATAGGTACAACATCAATCTGAAGTCATGTTGAGATCCTGTGCCTGCTGGGAAACATCATGAATTTAAAATATTTCTTCAATAACAACAACAACTTAAACCAACCTTTAAAGAAGTGCCCATGATCATGAGAAGATCTGCTTTTGGGAAATCTTCAGCATGTTGGAAGTATTTTTCCGGCAGATCTTCTCCAAAGAACACAACATTAGGTTTGACGGCCCCAGCACAGAATGTGCAGATGGGAACACTCCCGTTCATTATAGCTTGCTGAGAGAAAAACACAAAAGCAGTTTATGTGTAGTGCGTAGAATGGTGCAAACTCAATACCATCTATTTTAGCTCTATTTACCTTGGCTTCCTCTGCAGGATAAGGAGTATAGCAGAGGTGACAGGCAGCGGTGGCAAAACTCCCATGAGCCTCCACAAGTTTGTCATCAGGGATACCGCAAACTACAGACAGGGTTAAAGAGAGAGTTCACACAAATACTATTGACTAATGAATAAAACACAGCAAATCAGTAAAGACGTTTAAGGTTAGACATTCCAGGCAAAAATGTTGAGATTTTTTTTTTTACTTTTGCCTTAAATGCTTTCAGTCTAATGGAAGGAATAAATAATAACAATAAATAAATAGCTAAATTTTCTTGTGATTATACCATACTTGAGGGCTAAGGTGCCCCCTGGTGGTTTGGCAGATGAATAAACAGGAAAATATTTAAATAGGATAACAGCTGCACGGAATAGTAAAATCACGGGAGAATGCCAGGTTTAAAAAACAAACAAACAAACAAACAAAACTTAAAAAAAAATTATACACAAAAACAAAAAAAACAAAAATGGACTTCATCCAATGTTTAGACTTTTGTACAATATATATAAAAATTAGCATATATTTAAATTTAAAATCTTTGTTTTCCTATTATTTAAACCACCTGTCATATAAACCATGTTTGCATGACTTAATGTAATTAATCAACAAGCCGAAATCTGGAATGAAAAAAAAAAAAAAAAAACACTAATTCTATTAAGGTTGCTCATCTTGGTTAATTTTGCCAATCAACAACCGCCGCTCATTAACCCAATATTAATCATTAACAGGTCAAATTAATATCACATTATTATTTAATTTAAAAAGATGAATTCATGTGTATATTTTGTGTCTGCCCTAGGTATTTTTCACTTAAATTACAAATGTAGATTACAAACAAAAACACTGACTGAATCCTTTTAAACGGACATAAAAAGGTTTTTTCCTCCGTCAAATAAAAATAACAGGCTACCTCAAATTGATTGCTCAACAAAAAATATGTATTTAACAAACCTTTATCGACATTTTTAATAGAAGTCATTAGTTTAAAGATTGTCGTTAGCATTTGATTTTACATTAAAGCTTGTGTGCTTTTATTTTCTCCATCTCGCTCGTGGTAAATATAAACAACAATGACAAGGCGCATATGTTGACTTTTTGTAAAGTATAGGATATAAGCGTATAACAATTTAGTTGTTTACACATGATATTGCATTAATTTGCAAACATGTTTTATAAGCTATAAAATAAAAGCCTCAGTTTGGTGCACAGTCATTATGTAAAAATCTAAAAAAAATCATTGGATTTGTTTGATTCATAGATCTTAAAAATGGGTATTTTATTGGAACTATTAATAGCTGCAATTTTCCAAATGAAAAAAAGTTGGTTTGCTGGTTGTATACTAAATCTTTAGAACTATTAGTTGAGTTTATAAGTGGTGCCAGAGCCTGCGCTAATGGAGAGAAAACCCAGATGCTCAGAATGTTTTCAAAGCAGAGCACATTTCAGAAAGTTTTATTTTGCGCTTCTTTCTCCAATTCGGCAAATAAATGGTAGTGTTTAAGAGGCAGCTCCAGGACAGAGGCATTGAGCATCAGCGCTGGTTTGAAATCAATTCATCTGTCAAACTGTGACCAGCAACATTCTTCTTTTATTTTCCGTCTTTGCCAAAATGCATCTGTAGGCACATGTGGTTGCAAGTGTTACCATCCCACGAGTTAACAAATCTGTGTTGCACATTTATGCAGCCGAACTTTTAATCATTTAACTGATACCATTAACCAGTTAAAAACGCACTCTTTCAGTCAACGGGTAATTGTTTATTATGAGCATCCTTAAATTAAATGAAAGTCAATAGTTAGCAGTTTTATAGTTAGCATCTTTTTGTGTTCAACACAAGAAAAACTCAATGGTTTGCAACTAAAAAAGGCGAGTAAACGACAATTATTTTATTTTTATCTGAACTGTCCATTTAAGCTCACGTTTTTCGAGGCCGTCGATGTTCTGGGTGTACATGCGGAGCAGCAGGCCTTTCTGATGCAGCATGCGGATGAAGTAGTGGACGTAGTTGGGCCGGTGGTGTCCAGGATAAAGCTCTTTAGCCAGTGAGAAGAAGGGATGAGGGTTGTCAGAAAAGTAGTCGATGTTAAAGACAGCCTCTGGGTAAGGGATGTCGTACTTTGCTAGGTTTGCGTAGAGACCCGTTCCTGGAGTCCTGATATAAAGAGAGAAGTGTTAGTTGAGGGTCATGAGATTTCAGCAGCAGTCTGAAGGTTTGTGGTTGTGTGTGTGTGTGTTCACCTGAAGTCTGGGATCCCGCTGGCTGTGCTGATTCCTGCTCCAGCAACTACCACAATGTTTCGCACTCGACCAAGCTTCATCAGCCTGCCGATGGTTTCCAAAGCCCCGCGCGATACTGAGCGTCCAGAGGGTGAGGACAGAGCAGGTTTACTACTACCTTTCCTGAAGAGATGCAGAAATACAACACAGAACTTAGGCTCTATTATATGCCACTTTTTAACCCTTGTGTACTGTTCAAATTAACCACCCTTTCGTTATGTTCTTGGCTGTTTTTGCCCTATTGACTCCCATTATTATTACATTTTTGATTGCCATGACAGCATAATCATGCATTGTTGATTGTTGGTGGTTTTCCTGTTGGGAAGAGGAAACAATTGTGCAATTTTTACTGTTGGTCATCAGTTGGCATAATTAACCCTTTAGACAAACCTGTGCAAAAAAGTTTCTGGCTTTTATATGGAGTTATGTGGAGTAAAACAGCAGATTTTAGTGTTTGTGTGTATAAATACACTTACTATGTCTACTATGTTCTGATAGCTGAGCTGCTTATTTTGTTTTTCTCAGACATCAAGATTACATTGTACATCTTCCCAACAGGGAAAACCAGCAACAATCAAGCATTAATTAATGCATAATCATGCATTATTATATGGTGTCATGGCTTTGCAATAAAAAAATAAAAATCTTTTTTTTTTTAAGTCATCACGAAAGTCAATGGGGTAGAATCAACCATGAAATAATCAAAAGGGTAGTCAATTTGCCCAGTGTATTGTTGAATTCTTGAACATTTTTAAAGCATTTTCCCAAAATATGTTTGAAAATAAGATTTGTCGCCAAAAATCATTCTATTTGCTGAAACAGGAGTTGGTTGCGGCCAAAGTAAGATTCAAAATCACTTCAGAGTGGATGAAAAGAGTTTTAAAGATGTAGGTCAGTTACTCCTAAAACTACAATTAAGCGCTCATTTAATTTATAGATTTACTTTGTTTTATTGTTCAATTAAGCTTTATCTTTCAGTTGTTTTAGTACGTTTTTGTAGTTGTCACACTAAATTAAAAGTAAATATAAATATTTGTACGTATTAGCATTACTTTAGTTGTTTTGATATTGTTTGTATACCACAAAGTTGATTTAATATTCTTAATAATCATTAAGTAAAAATTTTCATTTTTATTTCAAAAACAATTCTTTTTTATTAAAACATCTTAATACACTCAGTTTACAGCATAACACTATTATAAAAGTTTCACTTTAACATTAGCAAACCATGTTAAATTTGACATACTTGTATCATTTATTAAACTTGTATTATTAACTTCTGCTATATAACAAACATTCTAAGCCTTTATTATTCTTAGTTATAATTAATTTCAACAAACTCAAATGTTTGATTTTAATTTATTGACTAATATTTAACAGAATATATTGAAAGAACAGCTGTATGTTTATTAACGAATGTTAAGACTACTACAAGTTATAACCAACAAATTTATTGCTCAACTAAAGTAAATGAAACTCATCTTTAAGGATGACTGTAACAACAACTGTAACAAATGTTACTGTAAATGTAGTCAAATCATTTTCATTGTAATTACTATAGCAAGTAAGCAAGTGCATGGAACATGTACTATATAACTCATTCATTCATTCATTTTCTTTGCAGCCTATTCCCTTTATTAATCAGGGATCGCCACAGCAGAATGAACTGCCAACTTATTCAGCACATGTATTATGCAGCGGATGCCCTTCCAGCCGCAACCCAACACAGGGAAACACCCACACACTCTTGAATTCACACTCATACACTATGGCCCATTTAGCTTATTTAATTCACCCCTACCGCATGTCTTTGGACTGTGGGGGAAACTGGAGCACCAGGAGGAAACCCATCACACAGGGAAAACACGCAAACTCCCTACAGAAATGCCAACTGACCAAGTCGAGACTCGAACCAGCAACCTTCTTGCTGTGAGGCGATCGTGCTACCCGCTGCGCCACCCCTTGTAGTCAAATCCTTAAATATCCTTAATCCTAAAATACTGAAAACTAATTTTGCCAAATTATTAATGTTTACATTTACTATTACTTACAGCCCGTTGGCAGTTGAAAAGATGAGGTCTAATATCAAGATCACCTTATTTTAAACTGCATTTCATCACTATGTTGCTTAAATGTGTAGTAATATTTGAGTGTTGGTCTGACCGTGTGGCTGAGGCCTGCTGTTCACTGACACTCATGAGGCTGAGCTCGTCCAGCAGGCCGGGGTCTGGAGCTCTGCTGCGCTCACAGTCCTGAGGGCTCATCATGGAGCTGCGGGTGACTCTGGAGACCCCCACCGATGCCGCTCTTCTGTCTCTGCTCAACCTCGCCTTGCTCATCACGACACCTGTGAAGAGAGACAGGTACAGTTACAGTAGATACAGTAATGCTAAAGTTACAGTTGAGCAATTCCATGCAAATCTCAACCTTGCCGTGAAAAAATTGTTACCAAAACTCTTTCAAATATTTGTGTGTATTATTGTATTTTACAATACTTTAGAAATAATCAAAAACACCTCAGTTAATGCTTTCAAACAATTATATGTGATTTACCAAAGTCACACAAGTGGCAATTTCACATCAGTCCCATCCATAACGGAGAGATGTCAAACCCATAACCAAGCTTTTCTTTCATATAGCCAAAAATATTAAATAAAAATAACTAAATCATGTTTGTTCTATATTGAGCAACTCTTATCCTTTGATTAGCATTGTTTCTTTTGGGTTGTGCAGTTTAATTCACACAATTTCTACAAAGTATGTTGTACACTCTGTAAACTTGCTGACTTTTTTGGTCACATCCATGAAGCATGTTTATTTCCCTCATTTAAAATATTAAAAATGGTTAACAGATTGAAATTTGTCTGATCCCATAGTTCTGTATAATGGTTTTGGAAAATATAAACAGATGTTTTAATACAATGTTAACATACTTTTATAATGTTTATATATTGAGTATTTATTGCAACCATCACAACCATAACGGTGGAATTGCTCAGTTATTGATTTAGTTCTACTTTTAGAGTGAAAAGTTCTACTTTTACGCTTACACCAAGGAGAGCTTACATTACAGAGATTACACGGTGCATCTGTTTTCATAGCGAAAGTGTAATGACATTTGTATTATTGAAAGAGGAAATTGTGCTAATACAGAAGCAGGTTTTATATTGTTATTTTTTTCCTCTCTTTTTTTCAATTTAGTTTATGCATCTTTTAATAATTTGCTTATTATAGTGTACATTACAAATTATAATCAGTACCACCTCTGTACACACTGCTCTCTGGTTTAGGAAAGGCTTTCCTGTCCACATCAGCCATCTCAGTCCCCAGTGAGTTTTTTTTTTCTTTATCAGCAGAGGACATTGTAAATGTGCAAAGATATCAGCTTATGCCAGAAATCATAGATATTCTGGTATTTAAAAAATAAAAAAGGGAAAAATAAAATAAATAAATTACTAAAATCCCTGCACATTCAGTTTTAGTTTGTTTTTATTAAAGAGTCTTTTTAATTTGTATTATTCACTTTTTTATTTGGATTTTGTCGTCGCAGAAAATATTTTATTTAAGAAAAAAAAAAGTGCTGTATTAGACAAAAAAAAAAAAAAAAAAAACACAAACGAGGTTTCTTGTTCGCTTTTAATTTGTCTCAAATAATTTTGTAAAACAAAATCCTGAATAAACACTGAATAAGCATTGCGAGTCAGGTGAATTGTCACATGTCTAGGGTCAGTTCACCAATAACCAAATTAAGCTAAGGGAGTAATCCATGTACAAAGAACAGACCGTTGGACAGGTATTTAATAAATAAATAAAATAAAGGTTAATAATGTAGCAAATAGTATATTTTTTTAGTATATAGAGAGAGAGAGAGAGAGAGAGAGAGAGAGAGAGAGAGAGAGAGAGAGAATAAACATGAATCAGAGAGTGAAATTCAATACCTTTGGAGGATGTTTTTTAAGACTATCCATACATTAAGACATTATACAACATCTTTAGGTTTCAACCAAAAACACTGGCAAGATAACTAGCAGCAGGATTGCTGGATTTTATTGATTTCATAAACTACACAACATCCTGATATTTGCAGATTTAATTCAGGCAAACTTCAGCATACAATCATACTTTGCATAATCAAAAACAATATAAAATTTAATACATTAAAAAATAACATTTAGGACTTTTTAATGCTTTAAGGGCTTTAAATTGCTCTACAATAGATTTATCAACATTTAATACCTTTTAAGACCCTGCGGACACCCTGACATAGTTCAATACAAAATAAAAATATAGAATATAAAACTTCTCTAAATATTTACACACCTAAGAAATTAAAATAAAAAAGCAGCATAAATATAAAATCGCATTAACCATATTAAGTAAACTATAAAGAACAAACCACTTTTAACTGTCTAGGTAAAAATAATAATAAAACATTTACTTAAAAAAAAAAAAAAAAAACAACAACACTTGAACATTATGATGAAGACATGAATTATAATTCCACTATCAGCCCGCTGCAATATTTTAAGTGTAATTAAAATCCAAGCAGACGGATCTCTGTAGTGTCCTGCCTCTGACTGGAGTAAAGCCTCAAATGTATTAAAGCTGTCAGGCCTTAACAAAGCTAATGGCTGTAATATATTTAAGATGGTTGAACAGCCCACAGCTGTGGCAGCTTTACGGCTCGGGCAAAGGGAACGGGTACGAGAGCTGGAAGAGGCCGACAGTGTGTCAACAAACCCAGCTGGAGCAGAGAAGAGAAGGGAGAGAGAGAGAGGGAGAGAGAGATGGATGATGCAGAGGTAGAATCCAATAAAGAGGGTTTGTGGGAAGCGAGAGGTGAAGAAGACGCCTGGAGCCGTCAGAGGACATTTCTCAAGCTGTTGATGTCTATGGATGAATGACAGAGGACACAAAGAGACACGGGCAATAAAACAAGGGCCTGCGTCACAGCCTACGAATGCGATAAGACGGGTCTTTCAGAGACGCACCTTATCACAGCAGAAAGAGTGTCACATCCACAATGACTAGGGGTCAGTGTTCAGAGTGATAAACAACTACAAGCATCTGCGGGACAAACAAAATCTGGCAACCTGCAAACTGAGATCCAATAATAGTCCAATTTGATGTGCAATGATTATTCCACAATGATTATGGCACTGTGGAGCATGCAGTAAACTGGTTTTCATTGGCTGTCTGGAATTACTTTGCGCACAATGTTTTGATCAAAACAAGTAACATCGAAACAATGAGGAATCATGAGATCCAAACATCATTAAGAAGATGAATGAAGAGTGAGCTTCCCATCACTGCATTCATGACTGCAAGTATAAGCACAAATGTAGAAGACACTCATCTCACAGCAAAACAGACCTCAGGTAGATGGTCTTCAAATTTCATGGGGGAAGACAAATTTAGTCTTCCATCACAAAATACAACAATAATGACAATCATGTTCGCGGACCATGCTTGCATGAATTTTAAGTATTTTATTAGAATGGGATTTTAGCGTTTTTCAGGTTTAACTACATGTTAAACAAGCACAATAATAGACTGATTTTACGCGGACGTCATTTTAAAAGCAAAATCGAGGCTGCAGTGGGAAGAAACCCAAACGTATCGCCTGAGTCATACAGGTATGTTGTGTACCTGACTGTATATCTTATCAGTGAAGAAAAAAGCAACACAAATGTATAATTTCACGATCTTCCAAGTGACCCGAAGGTCCGTTGTGAAAATAAAAAGGGATATCAAAGCTCATTTTCAGCCGAGTTAAGGGGAAATAGCACTAGTTAGCTAAGGTTATTTTTCCTAAACACACATTTTTCATGCCATTTATCAAACTCAAGTTAATAAACTGATTCTTTCGCTATAATAGACTTGTCATGATACTAAATTACAGCACTGAAATTTATAAAAACAGTCAATTTCCCACTAGCATTTAAGCACTGTAGAATGCAACACTGCAGATTTGTCATTGTGTTCACCGGTGCTCAACAGAAATGACTCTAATTTGCCGTGGAGGTTATCAGTTCACTGCACTTTACCGCAGATTACAGTGCAAAGACAGACGAGCGATCGACTGATCTTCGTGGATTTAAAACAGTGCAGTGTTCGTAAATTTGTGTTTGCACTCAGTGAAGTGCGGTGAACTTATGACCTTCACGACCAATTGTAGTCATTTCTGTTGAGCACTGGTGAATACTATGGCAAATCAGCTGTGTTTAAGAGTGCGCTCAGTGGCGCTTAAGTGTTAGCAGGAAATGGACATTTTTAAAAATTCAGTACAAGGACAACACTATTACAGACAACATGAGGGTGTGCTACAGAGGACTGCATTGTTTTATCGCTCACCGGGTTACAGGCTGAGGCAGGGAAGCGTCCCCATGGTGTTTACCTGGTGCCATAAACTGAAGCCTAGGAGGACACTCTTAAAGAGATTATGACTTTGTTTGATGCTTAATATGCTTTTAATTGTTTAAATTAAACTTAACTGATTGATATTAAAGTGATGTTTACACCATATCTGCATTTTGAAATCATGGCAACAGCTGGAGGTTTGTAGTCTACAGCATGTTGCTGCAATGTTTATAGTGCTGATCCTATACTTCTGGGTTTCTTCCCACCACAGCCTAGCTTTTGTGTTTTAAAATGGCAGCCACGTGAAATAAGCATATAGCTGGATTTTGACTTTTCGGCCAAAGAGTTTTGTTTGCTTAACAGTTCCATTCTGTGCCAGTGATTTTTAACAACCACAGAAAGTCGGGACCTCGGTTTAACATCTCATTCAAAAGATGGCACTCACTAAACAGTATAGAGTTCCCATCAATATACTGGGGCATTAGGTTGAGTGCCCCCTGCTGGCCTCACTAACACCACATCCAACAGCAACCTAGGTTTCCCATGTGGCCTCCCATCCAAGCACTGACCGGGCTCAGCCCTGCTTAGCAGCCGGCTAGCTCTCTGCACATGGACCATTTCATTGTAATTAATTAAAAAATATTATTAAAGTAAAAAACAAAACATTTGATTAGTTCCATAATCAAATAGTTGTGAAATCAAGAAGTGAACGGAATCAGTTAAGTGAATCGTTACATCCCTACTTGTGTACATGCATGTTCTAGATAATAATAAAGAATAGCTTTTTTTTAAGGTTATCTATTTGTTATGCACCTTTCACTCATTCATTAGCTTTTGTTTTTAAATGTGTTTTTTTAAATAAAGAATACAAGTTTGTTATAAATAAAGCTTAAATGCATTGAAGCTTCAACCAAAAAAAAAACAAAAAAAAAACACTACATCTAGCTGCAGATGGAACTGAATTAGTCATTAGTCGGTGGTTTAATC